ACCTTTTACTGACACTTTGATATCCCGCTTTCTTCATAGATTATTTGGCTTCTGAGAAGCAATATGGACTTTGCTGAAGCAATCACTTTGGTAGTGTGAGCATCAGAAATGACGAGACTGTCAAAGTCACTGGATCGACCGGCTACTGTAAGTCTCTTCGGTGTTATCTAGAACCGATGGCTTGTCGACCCTGTACTACAAGCGTACTTTGCACGCTGTAGGTGCGAATGACATGCTAATGTTTGTGACGCTATACGTCAGCCTATTCAATAGCGCTCGGGTAGTGGCTGGGTGCGATACTAGTTATCTCGTCTGCATACTCTAGGTTTGTCATTTGCTCATCTGGCAGAACTTCCAATTCGGAAGAAGCTGTGAGGATGTAATTACCTGTGATCATTTCGGTCACAAAGTTGAAGGTGGAGATGTCGGCCATCTCTGGCGCACCTGTTTTGCACTGGAAATCTTAGGAGACATCATCATCATCATTATACACGTCAGCTAGAGGTGGAAAAGCACCTCAGCTGTTGTGTCACAATCCAGCTTCTTATTCACGCTTACTCAATGCAGGAGTCACAGTGGATACTTCAGAATACGGGGTTTCACTCACACACATTCACCCTTTGATGATTACATGCCGAAACGATCAAGTAGGTTGAAGGCGGTTCTCAAGCCAGGGACGGTCACCATTGTCTGTCGTCTGTGTTCATGTCTTTGCTGTAACTCTTGACGAAGAGTAAATGCAAAGTCGCCCAGGGCGAATACCAGCCTGGCTCATTGATCCGGCGCTGTCAAGTACTGTTGATCCGTTGCAGTGTGCTAACTGTGAGTGGTTTGCAGGCAATAGAACAAGGCTAATGCTTCGGTGGTTTTCACACAAACTCCGTTGGCTCTATGAAAATGGGAATATCGGTTGACAGCCGCACTTCTTCAGTGTCCCAAATAACGTGGGGTAGGGCGCATTGACCGCCTACACCCCATATTTTAATAGGTGTTAATGGGTTATCAAATTCAAGGGTCTTGCTTAGTTTCAGTAGAGCAAGTTCATGTTGAATTTTCTCTGGAGTGATGGTTGATTCAGCATGGGTAGTTTCACATCAGGCCTGTCTAACTGTTCCTCGAAATATTCCACCCAATAGTCTAATCAGTAGTATACTAACTGTCCGTCTTTCCCAACTCTTATCTTGCTAACGGAAGATTTCCATGAATTCGTGTTCTGGATGATCTAGAACGGAATTGGTTGTTCCAAATTGCGCTGGCATTCTGCCTCCTTGAGCTTTGCCACCCACTCCCATTACTATTCAGACACTTTTTCACGATGTTATGAACACGTGGAAAATGTGTATTTGACGGAATCATTATTCTTGTTTCGACCTAACTATTCGGCGCTTCAGAAACCCATGCATACTGCGGACGTCTCAAGTTGGACATGCAGCACATTTCTGCGGTATTCTTCTTGAAACTTATGTGATCATTTCAGTCGGCATTCATCTCACCCACTTTTTCTGACTTGATGTTCTTCATCTGCATCTGAAAGCGATATGGTCCCTTTATGTCCAAGTCATTGTTAAAATCAGTGAGGGTCAAGTGACATGATGTGAGCGTTTGTGCTGGAGAACGGCGGTGCTAATATAACTATTTTGGTTAGCATGTACTTGTCGGAATCGATCGCCATTATTTGTTCGGTGTGCGCTGATTGCGTAATGGCGTCCTACAGACTGCGATCTCGATATCAGTATTCCTCACCATAAGGATATTATGTGTGAGCTGTAGACTGAAACAGCCCTTGATAAACGAGTTGCAGTTGACTTGGGTATACGCCGAAGCAACAAACTGGGTACCATCTCTTCAGACGGTGCTTATTAGCCCAAACGGAGTTCCGAATTCTGGCCGCATACATGCGACTTTTCACTTGTATCCAGTCGAGCAGACTGCCTTTACATGTTTTTCGTATCAATACTGACACCATAAATGCCTTAAGTCATCGACTCCATAGCGCCAGTAGGCTTCACCCACTGATTCTCATGTCACTTTTGGTTATCATCTCTCCTGTCGTCACTGACCTTTTCAACAGGTCGTTGTCCGAAGGTTCGTTTCTGATTGACTGAAAATGTTAGGTGGCGGCGACCGTAGCAAAGTGGACAACTACAGTCTACTTTGTCTGACACCTATTTCAGGCACACATTGCTGAGAAAATCGTGGAAAAAAGCTTATTGTAGTTGCTACAGTCAAAAGAGGTCCGGACGACCACACAACACCGTTGTATGCAAGACCGCTCATGCATTACAAACTTGCTTGTGATGAGGCATGAGTGGTTGAAGGCAATAAGCAAGTGAAGTCTGTCGAGATGATATTCATCGATTTCAGTAAAGCGTTCGACAAGGTCAGCCATGAGGTTCTCCTTCACAAGCTCAGGATGTGCGGTGTCGGTGGCTCACTGCACCGGTGGATCCGCGACTTTCTTGTTGGACAAAAGTGGAGGGTACAGGTCGACGACCAGCTAACTGACTGGTATTGCTCCACAAGTGGCGTGCTTCAAGGCACTGTGCTGGGCCACACTCTGTTCCTGATCCACATCAACGATCTACCTCAGCTTCTCCGGTTGTCATGGGCCTTGTTTGCGGGACGACATGAAGATTCGAAGAGAAATTGACGCTCCCAACGACTGGCGTGCTTCAGCAAGACCTGAACTGCCTATCCACATGGTCTGCAGAAGTTCATCTCTCGGTCAACCTAGCCAAGTCTGTATATATGAGTCTGGGAAAAGATGCTGGCGGCCGAACCTACACTTTTGACCGCTAACCGTTATATTCCACACCCTCCGTGAAGGAACTATGTGTACTCCCGCGCTACGAATTGAAGTCCATGGACAACACGAACAGACTATAACGTAACGGACTGCGCATGCTTTCGGCTCTCAAATGTAGGTTCGACACATGGTCTGAAGAGATTGTCACTCGCCTCTTCTCTTCCATCAGACCAATGCTAGAGTACGGTTCGCTCGCCTACTTTCCGATTACCTGAGGCGACGCACAAAAGATTGTACGGGTCCAGCATGTTGCTACCAGGCTCATCCCGAGTTTACGTGGCTTGGAGCATGAAGACCGGTGCGAGAGACTTGGACTCTACACCTTGTCCTACCGTTGGGTGCGAGTCGACCACATTATGACGTATCGTATTCTACTTCTCGGTGACTTCCCCATGCTGTCGCTAATGCTGCACTTCCGAGGGCTAATCAGCCCACGCGGACACAGATACAAACTTGTCGTGCCGGATGTGAAGTGAGTTCCTCTCCTGCTGTACTTTGAACGGAGAGTGGTAAATGTTTGTAGCAGTTTGCCTGAACATGTGATGGAGGCAACATCTATGCAGCGCTTCAAAACGTTGTTAGATCTATATTTTGTTACTGTTTGCTGCGATGACATCTCACATTTGTGAGGCTTGCAATACCGTGAATCAGATCTTTTGAATGTTACATGGGAGCGATAACGATATTAACGGTCGACAATTTTATGAAGTTTTTCGCCATACTTCCAAAGTTGTACAGAATTCATTTCCACTTGCTCTGTACTGCAATATCCATATAACTTTTTTATTTTTTATTTCTTATCAACTCGTTTGATTGACTGCTCCTCTGCTTTTATCCGAAGGATGGTTTTTTGATGTATCTGATACGCAGCACACTTCGTTTAGCTTTCCTTGCTTGGATATACTGGATGTTCAACTCTTGTGATTACCGAAGACTTTTGTACGGTTTATATCGCAGCATGTGGGGTGAACGACTTATCTCTACTGATTCCTGGATGTGTGGTGGCTGTCTGCCTGTATCTTACTGCGACGAATGTTTACAAACTACCGATGACCCCCTACTTTCAAATACTCAGCAGTCACCTTAGCAACTACATGCCACCTCGATTGGTGGCGGCTTGCAAAGGAAGTTCTGGCTCTGGGGCATAGCCCTATCCTCTGCACGTTCGCAACATGTATGACAGTGAAGCATGAGTCGCGCTGTGTTGCAGTTAGATATCACTCATGGCGGCCTGCTGCTGTCACGCATGGCTCCTTGGCATATGTCGCTGGCTCGCAAGAGTAAGATCGTGGGCTGGGATCCAGCAGGATTGGACGGGTGCGCGCTACTGACGAGTTCCAGTTTGACGAAACGGCCGTCTAGCCCTCTGCTGGACATGTGGTGGCTGTTTGCTTGAGTCTAACTGCGATGCACCTTCACAAATTTCAGGCAAGTTATCTTTATCAGTGTTGACTTTTTCTTCGAGCCCTCCTTTTTTATAAACTGGTTCGTGTTTTCGACTGTGTAACTGCGTCGAAACTTCCCGTATTGCTTTATGCCTCATACACACCATTAACTCCTTACGTTTATCGACATTTTACACATCTAACTTTTCTCTTACTGATTCACGAGCTGAATTCCTCGTTTATTGTTACCTTCAATGCTTGGGTCACCTAATAAATCTCTGCATGTCGTTTTTCTTGATTCGGGCCATCTGGCATCTTAACCTTGAGCATTCCATGTTGTGTATTGCATTGGGCACTGTCTTTTACTTATCGCTGAGGCGAACGGCATTCATGCAAACCCGTTACTTTCCCGAGTGTATACGGTGTAATCACTAGTTGTTTACTACTTTCGGTTTGTAACAGCTTGTGTTGCCGGGAACATGATTCTGAGGCAAACAATTGTTTTTGATGATTCATCTTTTGGTGAAACAAATCATTTACGCATAACATGCAAAGGGGTGGGCGACGAGTGGTTTAATAAGTAAAATCAGTGTTTAGATAGCAACTCACCGTTTTATTTGTGAGTAAAATCCATTCAGATGTCTGTCTTAACTTTTTAACCCGTTCGTTCCTCGTAGGTGGTTTTTGTTTCTGTTATGATACTATCACTTTGGTTCACCTGTCTAGCCTCCCAAATGATCAGCGCCTTTTACATATCCATCTTCTCCAGTTGCTTATCTATAGACGATGCTTTCCATTTTCACTTGCAGCACTTCCATCACGAGTCAGTTAGAGCCCACGCTGCCTTATCGCGACTTGTCTGGACTACGTGTGGTTTCCACCCTGACTGCGGATATCCCCACACCATCCGCTGTTTTGCCACATGTGTTTTTGGGCAGCCAATTGGACGCCATGTCCCACACTATTTGTCATGAGTACAGGATCACACACATCATAAATGTATCTGTGGACGGACCGGCTCCGAAGCACATCCGACCTGAGAATTTTCATCGTATCCCGGTTAATGACAACTACACTGACTGCATGAGGTCGTTCTTCGACGAGGCTTTTGTCTTTATTGGTAAGCTTAACTTGCACTAGTTTCTGATTTTTCACTGAAATATGGACTTTCGCCACCGAAACGGTCATTACCATTTGTGTCATCACTTTTTGTGAATTTGAGGAAAGATTGGGTGTTCGCCCGGCGCATAGCAAGTGCACGAACTAAATAGGTATCTCTGGACTCTATCCAGTTTTCATACAAATACTGATGCGTAGACGATACAAAGCGAGGCTAATTTGGCATTTATGTCGAATGTGTAGTTTTCATTTACTATTGTAGGATGAACTGACAGCTTACTGCTTCTAAGCGTCGCCGAACAAACACTCGAAGTGATTTAATTCTTCACCGATCCACATGGCTGAACCATCTCTCTGCTGATCGCTTCCTTAGTCAGTTATTGTGTACCTTTAAGCCGGTGTGGCTTTTACAGAGCATTGTCATCTATGACAGCGGTGTGATACTAGTCAAATATATATATATATATATATATATATATATATATATATCACAGTCTATAAATAGACATTAAGCCATCGAAAGACCATAAAGAACAAAGAATATAAGAGTACAACTGTCAGGAGCAGATAACAAACCTTACTTGGCTTTTGTTCCTTTCCACATGCCATTTTGTACTTTTTGGCATTTTGAATAGTATATCTCTAATCACATTGTTCAAAATATTTCAATATACAGTCCTTCCATTGATTCCGGTTTCGTGCCGTATCGCCAAGTGTGTCATGCCATTAGCAGTCCTCATCCTTGGGCCTCCAACCAGGAAGACGTACCTGTTCGTCGATTGCGGGACAGGTCAGCGTTTTCATGATTTCCGCCAGGTGGTTGGCTGACCGCCACACGTTTTTGTTCCAATTCAATCCCGTGTGTGCAATTTAGGCGCGGCGTGGTAAGCGCTCACATAGCATACCTAGAACTTGGTCAAGCTACCTCAATTGAAACATTGCGATAAGGCGATCAAGCGGAGGCCTCATGTTTCCCACGATGTGACTACGGGTTTCATGGTTGCGCACCCGGTGCTGCCCCCCCCCCCCACACTGGCTGTCCGCCGCAAACATGTGTTGTCGAAGGCAGAGAGTTTACGCATGTCATCCACACGAATCGGCCAGGACTTACTTCCGTACAGCAGTACCGCGCGGACAATAGCGTTTTAGACCCTCCCCTTTAAGGAGAAGGATATGTCCCGATGACGCCACCGATGACTCAGGTAGGTAAATGCCGACCGGGCTCTGGCGATGCGCAGAGTTACTTATTTCCCAATGATGCCAGCAGCAGAAATACAGCTTCCGTGGTAGACAAAGTTGTTCACATGCTTAAGCTGTGTTCCTTCAATGGTAAGTGAGGGGGCAGACGAGTTCCAGTCCTAGAGTAGCACTTTACACTTCAATCGGGAAAAGCGCATACTATATGTAGACGCTTCAATCGCCAGATGGTTCAAAATGAGCTGTACACTCTGTGATTCGTCACCGAGTAGAGTGATATCATCATTATAATCTAAGTCGGTCACGCGATTGCCAGGAAGAAGCTCAACAACAAGATTTTGGAAGCCTTCCAGAGATCTCAGCAGGACTTCCTCAATCGCAAAGTTGAATAGGAATGGAGACAAACGGCATCCTTGTCGCACACTACTAAAGATAGGGAATATTGAGGAAACCTTGCCATAAACGCTCACTCTACCTGACACTTGGAAGTAAAATGCCCGAATGATAGAAGTGTACTTTTCGGTGACTCCATTTCTTAGCAAACGGTGCCATAAACCAAGCCGATCGACCGAGTCAAATGCAGCTCTAATGTCCATGAAAATGACGATGGTTGGTCTGTAGTAGAGATGGTGGTGTTCAAGGATTTGGCTTGGCGTGGAGATCGGATCCACGCATCCTCGACCGGGGCGAAAGCCAGCTTGTTCTTCTCGGTTAAACATCTCGCGGATCGGGGATGGTCTGCGGAGCAGAATGGATGCCAACAGTTTGGAAGCAACCGGCGTGAGACTGATCCACTATGATGTGTAAGCACTTTTCTTGAAAATAGGGACAATTACTGACTCACCCCAAAAAGATGGATTCTTCTCTTCATGCCATATTTTGAAAAGCAGCGATGTCAAATACTTGACAAGTGCGGGGCTGCCAAAATTGAAGATTTTTGGATAAAGTTTGTCCGAACGGGGAGACTTGAATCTCTTGAGGTGTCGAATCTTGACGAAAACCGCTTCATTAGATGACTCCAATGAAATGGTTCAGGGCATGCAACTGGGTCTTCTTGGCATACTAACAGACAATGGACGGAGATTGAGTTGAGAGTGAAAATGTTCGGCCCAACGCTCTACGCGTCTTCGCAGGTTAATGATTCGTGACCCATCCGCTTCACAAATAGTCTCGCTGACATCAGGCCTTCAGGGGCCGGTGAACCAAGTGAGCTGGAAGAGCTCGCAAGAATTGCCAGAGAGAGCAGTGGTCTCCATCTTCAAGGCGCGCTGAGACCACCAAGTCTCGCGGACATTACGCCAGCTTTGTTTCAGTTGCCGATTGAGAGTCCGGCGCACAGCAGTATGTGCTGACTCTGGTGGCACATTTCAACGGAAGTCTAACAGTTCTAACGAGCGAGCGGAGATCCAACTTTCCAAAGGGTGTTGGGTGAGAACACAAAGCGATTGACCATAGGAAAGTATTGCTTCATGCAAACAAGCCCAATGTTGCTCAACATTATGCGTCGACTACAGGTGAAACCATCCGATAGTGCAGCTTGATAGCTCAATTGGACAGAAAGTTAACTTACTTGTTTGTGTCAATCTTACGGTGCAGTTGTTTCCAGGGCCCACCGAAGCTTATGCAGATGTTCGCACAAACCAGCGCGTGATCTACGTCGAGGTGGGTTGACCAGAATGGCCTGCATTCACTACGGCCAGTTTGCTATATTAATCAGTACGTGACCACTACGCATATATATATATATATATATATATATATATATATATATATAGAGAGAGAGAGAGAGAGAGAGAGAGAGAGAGAGAACACAGCCAACAGTACAATTGACAGAGCGCCACAGCGTATGGACAAACATAATCATACAACAATAATAAGGGAATAGAGAGGTGTAAAAAGTGTCAAACTGGGGTCATGGGGACAAAGTCTCACAACATGTTTGTTATTGCTCACGGTTTCTTGGCATGTCTGATGGGGTTTCCAGCCAAGTGTGCTCATCGTCCTTACTCCCCCAACCGGGAAATCGAGAATGCTCGACCGCGGCCAAATGTGCAATCAATGCCTTCATACGTTTAGTCCATGCTATTCCATGCTCACCTTATCTTCGCTTCCAGCCGACTGCTTTGCACACAAAGAGAGCACGGTGAGGCAAATGCTCAGTCGGCATGCGAAGCACGTGGCCAAGCCACCAAAGTTCGTGCAGTGAAATTATACGGCTCAGCGGCCGGCAAAGTTTGTCCGACTGGGAAATCCTTCGGCGAACATCCTCATTAATAATAGGGTGTTTCCACCGTACACCAGCAATGCTGCGAAGGCAGCGGTGATCAAAAACAGGCAGCCTCTGAACGTCCTTTACGCGAACTGGCCAAGGCAACCGTAGAGCAGGACCGCTCTCACCGTGGCATTGTAGACTCGGCCCTTCAAGGAGAGACTCAGGTCGCGGCGACTCCAGAGATGGCGGAGATTAGTAAACGCAATCCATGCCTTAGAGAAGTGCAAGGGGACATCATCCGTTAAATCATTAGCGCTGATACAGCTTCCGAGGTAAAGGAACTTGTCTACCACTTCCAGAGGTTGGCCTGAAAGCGTAAGAGCTGGAGCAGCTCGTAGCCAGTCCTGTATGAAGACCTTACACTTCGAAGGGGCAAAGGTCACTCCAAACTGGGAGGCAGACACCGCCAACTTGCACAGGACCTTTTGGGTGGCTTGTGAGGGATCACAAACTACAAAGATGTCTGCATACTCCAAATCTCGAAATCGGTCCTCGGAAGTAGTTCAACGCCGCTGGGTCCGCAATGCTCCAGAGCGCTCTCCAGCATGTTATAAATAGCGAAATTAAACAGGAAGGGTGGTGCAGGGCAGCCCTGTCTCACACCACTAATGATACTAAAGGGCGGCGAAAGTTCGCCGTACACCTGCACTCGGTCCGAGGTTCGGGAGTAGATGGCTCGAAGGTTGACGCACTTTTCAGGCACTCCCCTTCTCAATAGACAGCTCCAGAAAGCAACTCGGTCAACTGAGTGAAACGCGGCCCCTAGGTCTAAGAAGACAACGATCGTTGGCCAGCTGAACCTCTGACAACGCTTGAGTATTTGGCGGAGAGTAAAGGTGTGATCGATACAACCGGCCGGAGCAGAACGTTGCTTGCTCTTCGCGTGTGTTTTGTTCGCGTACCAGGTTAAGCCTCCTTAAAAGCAGGACGGCGAACACTTTAGAGGCAACGCAGATAAGACTAATCTCTCTTCTTTTTTGCAGTCCGTCCGGGCACCCTTTTTATAGACGGGCACGATATCCGCGAGACTCCAATCGGACGAGATTGCTTCGGTGGTCCAAACCTTTTGGAGGAGGGAAGTTAGCTCCCAAACTAGTGATGGACCATCATATTTGAAAGGAGACGGAGGGAGTTCGTCTGGACCAGGAGCTTTGTAGCGCTTTAGGAGGCGAAACTCATGAGCAACCTCAGAAGGTGATGAAGCGTCTACACACCAGGCAGCACTACGGGTTCCCAACTGAGGGATCACTGTTGCTGCAGGCCAGTTGAACTGCTGTTCAAAATGCTCAGCTCAACGCACGTTGGCAGTGGATTCGCTCGCCATTGGTTTCGCACAAAACTTCACTTACAGTCGGCCTTTTGCCGCCAGTGCATCGGATAAGGTGGAAAAGTTTTGGAAAATTTCCAGACCTGGCCGGCTGCTCCATACCAACAAATGACCAATCCTGCGCTAACGCTTGGTGGTGATCTGCTAGAAGTCGTTCAGGAATTCAAGTACCTGGGCAGCTATATTAGCACCCGTGGGATTGAAG